TTATTATTATTATTACCACTTTTTTATTAATAAATATTGTTCTCGTTATTCACAGACACTGCAGCAGCAGCAACAACAACTTCAACAACAACAAAAACAACAACAAACAGGTACTACAACTCTCACTAAATTCGAAAAGATTAGTTAAATTCTACATAAACCTAACACTTGCCAGAGCAAATGAATCTTGCCGAAAACCTCGCAGAATGGTGGTCACAATTCGAATAAATTGTTCTGTTGTATGGGCACACACCAAAAATCGCTTAATTCTATCTGATTTAACCTAATTTTATTTGACTATTTCGGAGCACACAGACAAACTGACATTTGGGAATTACTTTCCCTTCTTTCTCTTTGAGGTAACCAAACCTATTCATTCGGGTTGTCATGCTCTACTTAGTCTTTGCAATATCTGTAGAACATATTGATTTTCTGCGGAGATTAAAGATACGGAAGGCGCAACTAGGCGAACATTGCCAAAGGGGAGGAAATGTAATCAAGAGTAACTAGTGACATTAATCCTATCTAAATAATATTTTGTCCGTCAGTGCCTAGCGATGACCTGTACATCTACGGAGGAGAATATTAAAATGTCTTAAAGAGAAACGGAAGAATAGGATTAAGATGACTTGTGACTTCTGCTTTGACCCCAATAGGACCAAAAAAGTTTGCCGTATTTCGACTATTCTGAGCAATATTTTTTTCCAGGACTTGTGGATGTACGCAGCTTATGGGCTACTCTCTTGGCTTCATCATTTCTATTTCGTGAAGCCTCATATCCTATCAGATATATAACCTATCATGTCAACAATGTCTTGTTTGTGGTCGTTAACCCTAGAAACCAGACACCGTGTTCTGTTATCACATCTACTCTTGACTACCCTGATAGACTCGAGGACATTGATAGTGTGCTTCCCTTTGCTTTGTCTTGTTTAGATCATGCCTGCTGGCTCGCCTTTATTTTGTAGATTTGGCTGCGTGCAGCGAGTAGCGACTGAGATTTAATGTAATATATCAACACCAACGCAAAGAGCGGTTCTTCATGGTATGCACGTAGAAGTGAACTCCTCATTACGCTATCCCAGAATTACAAAATTCTATCCGCCCAGTACCCAGTTTTGAGAAATTTAAATCAATTTTTTTTTAGTTTCACAACATGGTCAAGCTTTTCGAATGTAATTCTTTAAATATCTTGATAACGACTCCGACTAATGTTAAGATTTTGATAGAGCAGATAAAACATTTAGTTTTTGAACTATGGTCTTAGTAACTCAAAATGTCAGATAGACTCTGTAATTCTAAGGAAGCGAATACATGTTGTCTGAGCATGTGTTTACATAACTGCGTGAATAATGGGTCCAATCTTTTTAACTGACTGTTAACATAATAAGACAGATTTCACGTTGGAAAGAAAGATCGACCATGCATACCATAATAATTTCTTCATCTTTTAGAAAATATGTAGTCATTTAGAGCAAGGGAAAAGCACCATAACAAGACAGGTAAACATTTAAATATCATGCCACTACAGGTACAGTAAAGGTTACAAAATTGTAGATGTTTTAAACCTTCATCGAGACAACTGAGACCATTTTGGAGGCGGGCTGCTTCATCCTTTTCTGTCAGGGCAAACCCCTATCGAGAGGGATACAATATTCCTGCAGAAAGAAGACCGAGATAGTCGACAAAAAATTCTCCCCACTACGGAGTCGAACTCACGTCTTCTGCGTGCGACGGCCAAGCGCCTAACCGTTACACCATAGAGTAAAGTACAGGTACAACGTGAAAGCAGGATATCAGACTTAACGTCCATCTCCGATAGTACCTAAACGAGTGGGTCGTTTGAAATAGAACTAGTTCAACGCCCTTTATGAACCCCAAGGATATCAAAGACGCTGTCAGGACCTTCAAATGTAAGGCCCGTCTCCAATAATATTGAGGCAAAACCCAGGAGCAGACAAGAAAACCTGATGTAACACCCCCCCCCCCCTCCTTCCCCCATCGAAAAAAAACGATAAGAAAGACAGATAGAAAAAAAGAAAGAAAGAAAGAAAGAAAGAAAGAAAGAAAGTAAACATTATTTTAATTACATTAAAACACAGTTTTTAAAAGGAAAAAACAAAACAAAACAAAATTGTGGTCATCTTACCTTCACCTACTACGTCGATGACTTCGTACTTGTTCATCACATTGTCCAGTTTCATGACCGTCCGTACAGGCAAGACAAGGTCATGCGGGTTGAAGGTCACCACGCGCAGGCGGGGTCACAGATCCCGGAGTGACCACGATGATGGAACATGACGTGGTCCCCGAGGACTACAGACCACACACACACACACACACACACACACACACACACACACACACACACACACAAACAAGGACAGCTTTTGAAGATCACGTCTCTTTTAGCACACTATACAATGTCTACGGACAGACTTTTGCCTTTAACTGTCAGACACAGAGAACTGTTGTATGGGATGCGACGTGACCATTGGTTTTCGATTTGTTCAAAGAACAAATGATGCTGGGACAAAGAGGCAATTAAGTAGATGGGCTAACACACAGTTGTTACACTATCAAACGAGTCTAGCAAGAAATCCAAGAAGCTATGCAGATACAGTAAGCAGGCAAACGGATCCAAAGTCCTATGTTTTCTGTGGGAAGACTGGGCTTTTCAGGCTTATCCAAGACAGCGAAACACGTACATCCAAAAAAGGCGTCTTGTAACTGTTCTGAGAGTCACACAGTATGTTCTGGAAGATCAGTTCTGTCTGTAGTCTGTCGCTTGGAGGCACTGACGTTTACCACAAATCCCCACAGCCGATGTTCTGCACAGTGAAAGAAATACACAAAAAGCATTAACAAACATTTAAAGAAATACTTCCGTTTCAGAACAAACTATTCTAAGACGCCAATTCGGACCCATTGAGAAGACTCTGCGCAAAACAGGAATAAATGGGGGGAAAAACGTTAAATCCAGCATCGCGTAAATAGAAAGTGTTCAACTGACCCCAGTATTCAAGTGATGCTGTTTTGTTTTAATAGATGTTTTATATCACTTGCAACCCAATAAGCTGATATAAGTGCCAAAGATTAGAGATGTTACAAGAGAGTAACAAAGACAAACAAGGAAGAGAGATATGGACGACAGATGTTTGATAGGAACGAAGGAGCAGATCACACCAGAGCACCCACCAACCACTCACATAAAGGATGTTGATGAAAAAAAAAGAAAAAAGAAAGAAACTCGGGTCGATTCAGTGGTGCCAGACACACATGAGCGTGCGCGCACACACAAACACAAACACACACGCACATACATACACACACACAAACACACACACACACACACGCGCGCGCGCGCTCGCGCGCACATACATACAAACACACACGCACATACATAATACACACACACACGCGCACATACATACACACACACACACAAACACACACACGCACATACACATACACTCATATCAACAAACAC